GGTCATACTGAGAAGGTAGGTCAGTGCTGTAGTAGATACTGTGGCTTCTGGAAAAGGCAATGGGAGTGTCTCATTTATGAAACCCTCCATGTTTTCAGATGAGCTCGATTGATGCATTTCCCTTAACCCTCCTGGCAGAGCACAGATAATTATATTCTTCTCTCTGCAGATTCGAAATCACTGAATTTGACCTTGTGCCTGAGTGCACATAAACATAAGCAAATTTAAATTGTTATTGTTCCCTCCAAATCCATTTCGCTTAATGTGTAGACATTTGGTGAGGCTCCATAACATAACAAGAAGTTCTTCATCATTTTATACTTTGAATTTTTGCATTGTCTTTAGACAATATATGAATTTGATAACACCATTTAGTAAAAACATAGTTCTGTACAGTAGGTATGTAGATACAGTAGATGGAGATTGAAAAAAAAACCCAGAGAATTTAGAGTCTTTTTTCAGAATTTGTGTGAATATTGTTTCAATTATCTTCTCTGATATTCTTAATCTACTACACAGAAAACGAATATACACAATATGATAATATTTCCTTAAGTAAAATTAAAACTAAGAATTGGGCATATGTCTCATGTAATGCATACCCCACCTGGAGTACTCCCTTCAGCTGTGGGCTTCCCAGCACAAGAAAGACCCACCTGTACAAGTGGGTCCAGAGGAGGGCCACAAAAATTCAAGAGCTGGAACACCTCACCTATTGAGAAAGGCTGAGAGACTGGGGGTTGTTTAGTCTGGAGAAGAGAAAGGTTCAAGGAGACCTTCTTGCAGCCTTTTGATACCTAAAGGGGTCTTGTAGGATAGATGGATAAAGACATTTTATCAGTGTCTGCAGTGACAGTAATCAATGGTTTTAGACTGAAAGAGGGTAGATTTCTAGTAGATATAAGGAAGAAATATTTTACCATGAGAGTGGTGAGGCACTGAAACAGGTTTCCTAGGGAAGTTAGAAATGCCCCACCACTGAAAGTGTTCAGGGTTAGGTTGGATGAGGCTTTGAGCAAACTGATTTGTTGAAGGAAGTCCTTGCCTGCAGTGAGGGTGTTGGACTAGATGATCTTTGAAGGTCCCTTCCAATGCAAGCCATTCTGTCATTCTACTAATACGGAACTTGTTGCCAGAGGATTCTGCCTTTATAGTTCAGATATTAGAGCTTCCTTGAGAAGGGGAGACCTGAGCTCCCTCCTTAATCTGATGGGACAAAACCCACAGCTCGCACATCCTCGGAGAAGTCTCCGCCATTCTTGCTTCTCCCATGGTTTTCTTAACCCCATGCTCTGATCTGCCAAGGCTTTCCTTTGCCCCTTGGCCAGGACCAATAACCCCTGGGCTACTGGACACCACATGATACCGTAGGGCCTTAGTACGGAACAGGTTTGGTTTTCAGTCTGGGGTCCAGCCACCCAAAATGTGGGTGCTGTATTGTCAGAGCCCTTCTTGGAGCAAGCTCTTCATGCACAGGGTAGAGCCTTATAGTGGATATTACCTTGGGTCCCATGCATCATATTTCTGACCTTGTCCCTGTTTCCCTGATCTATTTCAATAGCCAAAATGCCAACGACCAGGAGAAGAGTGTGTTTAGGTCTGACAGCATTTAGAGCAGCTCAAGTGACCGTGCCCTTTCCCCAAAACTAGATGAGTCACTCCCCAGGACTATCAACAGATCCCCCTTTCTCAGAGCATCAGGACTTCCTACCACCTCTAGTGCTCAAATATAGGCAGCACTATGCTGGAACTGCATGAATGTGTAAATGTGGAAATACTAATTTGTGGAAGTTCTAGGTAGGGAAGGGCTGAAGGGATCTTTGCTTTTTTTCCTGGTTGGTGAATTTGACAGTGGGAGCATAAATATGGGAGACAGTCTTTGGCTGGAGCTGTGCTTTGTTTGTGTTAGAGGAAGTGGAAAGAAGGGCTGTGTGTTGAAGGATAAACTGAGGACTGCAAATCACTACCTAGGTTGTCTTGTAGATGTGTGAGCTGGTCTCTGGGATGGTGGAAAGGTTCTGGAACTCCTCAGGAGCAGAAATATCTGCAGGAATGGAAAAATACTTCGGTTGATATATAGGTTGTAAGGACCTGTAACCACTCCTTGTTGAAAAGGGGTATGAACATTGGAATCCCACAGGATTCTACAGGCCTAGATCTTTGCCTCAGCAATTTGCTTTATTCAGTACAGACTGACAGGTCAGACTTGAAAAAAAGACATAAGAAAGAGCTGAGGACCTTTCTTGAATTGCCAAGATGGGTGCTTTCTGAATGAATTAAAACATCATCAGAAAAGAAAGGAGCACCTCTTCTTCAGCTGCACTGACCTACCTAGCAGAAATCACAACATACCCTATGACACTTTAGCACAAATTCATGAACAGACTTATAGCAACTCTTGGAGAATCTCCCACTATTTCAAGCGTACAGGTGGACATGTGTGTAAGTGTATGGATGCTTTCCTCAAACACTGGAAATCACATCACACCTCTCTCTGAGACTCCAACCCAATAGTTCAGCTGGACCATGACCTCCTATTGTTGTGACCAAACCTGTGTCTCATGGCTATTAATCTTGCCATGTCTGTGACCCTCAGATCACTCCCTTACATTCAGAATTTACCAACACAACCATAAAATGCTTTCAGTAACACTTATTTCCTCCTTAGTGGCCTGCCTAATGTATTGCTCTTAGGCATTTCTTATAAGCTTCACACCATCACATGGGAAAGATAAATGCTGTCACCTCATTGTACAGCTGGGATATCTGCAGTGCAGACATACCAAGCAATCCACCCTGGGTCATACAGTGAGTCGGTGGGAAAGCCAGCAATAGAATCCATAAGTCCTGCATCCAAGTTCTCTAAGTGCCTTGACTAGCCCAGATTCCCTCCTTAACACCCCTGTCAAATTATTTATAGGAGATGCATTCATATAGTCAGTAAGACATCAAAATTTTCTAATAATATCTCATCATGTCAAATGACAATTATGACCTTAGTTCAGTTTGCCAGACAATGCTTTGCCAAAGAAGGTTTGCCAAAAATGTTTTGACCGAAGAAAGAGGAGGCATCTGTAGCATCTGCAGACGAGAGCGTATAAAACATCCCTGTGACAAGTCTGCCCTGTCTGCACAGGCAGCTTCAAGGTAAGTGCACGGGGTCTGCAGGCTTGCAAGAAGGGGCAG